ATTATTTTAAGTACTACATTAGGCATGATCAGAACTGATTAAAAAAAGCAAGTGGAAAACGATAGGATACACACTTTAGTGGAGGGACTTGAAAGCAAAGGCATCTGGTCTTGTAGTGGTGGTTGGTTTGCTTATTAACATTTCAGAGAATGGCTGGCTGTCTGAAGTGTTAAAAAAAGGATTTCCTATCTATTAGAGCTTAATAGATAGAGAGGAGGAGATGACAGGGCCGGGTTTAAAGTGGCTGGTGGATACACTCATTTAGCCGGCCCATACTACGGGCTACGCTAATTTAACCAGAATTGGGGATCCATACGGACCAAAGTTTAAAAGACTCATTGACAGATTTCCAATTAGTATCCTGAAAGAAATCCTCCAAGATTGCCACATGCAGACAGGAAAATGAGGTTTAACTTTTTGTTTCACAGTGAGGAGGTGGTTGGAGGTGGCTGAAGTGTTGAAGTTTCTCATCAGAATCTGGTTGCAGAAGGAAAGACTGGAATGGTTAGTGCTGTGGACAGTCTGTGAGAAATGACTGACTGACCTGACGGGGTTGCTGGTCAAGGACACACGCAGGGACTCCAGGCAGTTGAGCAGTTTGTCTTCAGAGATGCCTGAGCGCAGCTCGTGCACGTACTCCTGTGACGAGAGCGTACACTCGTGCTTGCTGTTCCTCAGTCCACCCTGTGGGAACAAGACACATTAAGGGATCAGCCACTGCACCGCTGTGCTTTACACCCTGCTAGGCCTGTCACACGTTAATTACAACATCTGTATTAGACTTGATCATCGCTGGAGTCCATGAGCCTCCTAAGAAAGCTCTCTCTGCTGCTACTTGCAATCTCTGACTTCAAACGGCTTCTAGAAGATATGTTTTTCATCATTATTTTGACAATAAATGAGCAAAAGCATTGGAATCCTCATCATTTGTAAAGAGGCAGAAAATAGTAGGAGGGGGAAGTAGTTACCAACACCTGATTTTTGGAAGAGGCAGCACCCCTGTGCTCCCAGCTGTATCCCAGTTTCCAGCAGGTGAGAATGATTACTAACACTCCATAACTGCAGACTCACTTCCTCCCTAAATCAGCAGACTGCCCACCCACAGCACTGACTGACACGGTGCTACCAGCTAGACTAGTCAGCAGGAGCTGCCTCATGCTAATTCTACACACACACAGAGTAATTGGAAATGCTCCCACACACAATATGCACCCACAGCACTGACTGACACGGTGCTACCAGCTAGACTAGTCAGCAGGAGCTGCCTCATGCTAATTCTACACACACAGAGTAATTGGAAATGCTCCCACACACAATATAAAAACAGCAGCATAAAAGTGCTTATTAAAATACTATATTTTTGTGCTGATATGGTATTGTTGAGATTCAGGAGTTGGGCACTCAATGGCTATTTTCACAATAGCAGCAGAATACAGCTATCGGTCATGTTGGGGAGCTATAACTACAGTTTTCCCCTGCCATTGTATTAGGGGGGCGGCCCACCCCCCTTGAAGGTCAAGTTAATTTACATTTTTTTTTAACTTTTATTTTCTCTATAGTGCCAGATCACAACAGAAGTCATTTAAAGTTACCTTTTCTATAGAACAGGTCTATGCCTTGTTCTTTTATTAAACAAACTAAACAGCCTTATGTTATTTATCTTATTTACACGATGGCATGTCATTTCTGTCTCTAATTTACATGGTCGAGCTCTCTGGATCGCGCACAGCGGAGTTCTGCCCCGATGCACGCTCACACACAAGTGAGCACACTCCCACTAGTATTTGTAAATATTAAGCCGCAAAACGACTATTTAAATATGAATTCTGTGTGTTAATGAATGGCTCAGACTCGCGGTTTTGTTTACTACTCGTACTGAAGCGCGCGACGCTTCCGGTGATATTAACGTCTGCCATCTCACTAATGAGGACATAAATACATGAATATGAAATGTATGTATACAGAAATACATCTCCAGAACTGCTCAGAGAGTCACTTAATGAGCATTTTACCATTTAATTTGAGTAAAACTATCCTCATATCACATACACACAGAAATGTAAAGCTATTCACGGCAACCCGTCAAAATAAAAGTTTGGTTTTACTTGAAGACATTGCGGCAGAAATATATTACTGTTGTTCAGTAATGTACGTAATACTACTACTAAAATTATTAAAACCTTATTTTTAAGGAATAATCATACAATATTTCTTCAATATTTTAATTGTAATATTAAATCCCATTTATTTTCCCAAAAAATAAAATGTGTTTAATTTTCATTATTTAAAAGATAAACATACAATATTTCTTCAATATTTTGTTTGTAATATTAAATCCCCTTTATTTTCCAAAAAAATAAAAATAATTTTCATTATTTAAAAGAGAAATTAAATGAATGTTTTATGCCTTAAAAAATGTAAATACTCAACACAGAATTTCTGAGTGGAAAAAATCGTAAGGCTATTGTAAGAATAATTGAAACTTGTTTTTATGCTTTCAAATAATTAGACATGCTAAAACAGAATATGGTAACAATAAAACATAAGGTTGGAACAAATTAAAGATTTCATAGGACCCTAAACATGTAATGTGTTAAAATTTTAATAAATTGATGTTAAATTAAGTTTCATGATTTTAATTAATTAGACATGCTTTTTGATTAATACAATTTAATTTAACCATTAAAAAGGAGTCCGGAAAAAAAAGCCCCCAAAGCCGTAAACCTAGGGGAAACACTACTTACTATATCTCAATTTACTTCTGAAGGGTTCTGTAGCCTAGAGCGTTTTTTTCGATATGTCATTAGAACTACCTTTGCTTAGTTCTAGGCTTAAGGGATTCACTATAGCTGGAGGTACTGATCAAGCTAACAAACTGTGCTATAGCTGAATGCTAGTGTTGTGGGGTGCTAAAAAAAATAAGGGTTTAAGTTTGTTTTGGGGTTTTGTGAGATGCCTGAGGCATTTCTGTGACTATATTGCTAACCCACCTTGGCCCCACAAACCACCAGCTCCTGTGTGGCAGGTTGGATGATTATATTTGTTGTTCGAGTCCAGAAAAATTAAAACGGAAAAAATGGACCCCCCCCCCCAACCATGTTATATAAACAAAGTAACTTTGTTGCTGCTGTTAACTCAGACAAGCTGTACAGAACATCCCATATGAATTAACTGCATGCTTTTGTGAAATGTGCTCATAACATGGTAAAAATTGACCAACGGCAATAATGTGCACATACAGTAGGTTCAAATGAACTGTGACACTGCAAGCCTTTTTTTTTATTAAAAACTTATTAAAAACTAATGAATTGATTTAAAACTGCAGAGACTATTAATCAGAATCCAATCAAATGTTTCACACAGTAAACTGAAAAAAGAAATTCTCATTTGAAAGCGGTTGCAAACATCATTATCACTGTAAGTAAACACAACTGTTCCTAAAATTTCTAAAAAGCATTCCCTATTACTTTAACCTCTTCAGTTACTATTCATTTTAGAACAACCAGAATTAATATGTAAATGAAATTACATTAATTTGGTAACATTATTTACCGAAACCACACAAAAACAAAGCAAAACAAAAGAAACAAATAAATAAATATTCAATAAAATATTTCAAAATTTATTAAAATTTTATATTTATTTAGCATATAGATGACATTTCTCAAAACTACTATGAGAAGGGAATGACTTACTCTCCATAAATGTGTTTGATCCACTCATGTATGTTGCTGTATGCACAGGACACAGGTCATTCCCTGACTGTGTGCACATCTCATACACTGCTGTAATACATGCTCTACCCACAATCCCTCACTTATGAGTAAACCTTTGCACATACAAATGCTACATGTTTTATTTGGCTTATTCCTTTACTTTGTGATTCAGCTGTTTGTTTGTACAGATAAAAGCCTTTAAACAAGCACAGGCGTATAAAAAACATCATTATGAACAGGAAACAGATAAAATACTAAGAATAAATCTATTTAGTGACGGTGGGATGTCTTACCATCCCCTTCTACCTATATAACTAGGCCTAGGTGGATTTATTCATGACGCTCGCGCATACCAAAATCAATTTCTGAGCAAGCTGCCAAGTTCGTGGGTTTTTGTGACTACTTTCTTTACTCTCATGCATTAGACAGACAGAGTGAAGATTGTCAATCTGTTACCTCCACTGCACCCCTTGGGCAAAAGAATCGAAAGTGTGCCATGGTTTCCACTTTTTATATACCACATTATTCTTATTCTTGTCATTTTACTCAGGTTTATTTCATTTTTATATATTTTTTTTTTCACAGTTGTGTTCTCTCTTATCCAAGTCATCCATGTGTTTCTTTTTCTTTTGAAGCTGTTTTCCATCTGTATGTTCTGAAAACAACAACCTGCCAAACGAGGCAGAGGAAAAAGAAGGCGGCGGCGGCGGAGCACAGGGTGGGCTGTCAAAGTCACCCGTGTAGACGGAGGGATGAATTAATGCAGACAGAGAAGTATGTAGGGTAGTATGGAGTGAGTATTAGTGGTTTCTTCCCCTGTACGAATGTGCTTTAATGTCATCTTCCCAGGATGTGGCTTCCCCAGCAGGCAAGCTGCACTAATAGGCAGTCTTGGAGGAATAAACAGGGCATCTTTGTGACGGAGTCCCATTTCTCCATGGTTTCCACTTTTTATATACCACATTATTCTTATTCTTGTCATTTTACTCAGGTTTATTTCATTTTTATATTTTTTTTTTCACAGTTGTGTTCTCTCTTATCCAAGTCATCCATTTGTTTCTTTTTCTTTTGAAGCTGTTTTCCATCTGTATGTTCTGAAAACAACAACCTGCCAAACGAGGCAGAGGAAAAAGAAGGCGGCGGCGGCGGAGCACAGGGTGGGCTGTCAAAGTCACCCGTGTAGACGGAGGGATGAATTAATGCAGACAGAGAAGTATGTAGGGTAGTATGGAGTGAGTATTAGTGGTTTCTTCCCCTGTACGAATGTGCTTTAATGTCATCTTCCCAGGATGTGGCTTCCCCAGCAGGCAAGCTGCACTAATAGGCAGTCTTGGAGGAATAAACAGGGCATCTTTGTGACGGAGTCCCATTTCTGCTCTGTCGAGGCGTAGTGAAGAAACTCCAACACGGGCGGCAGCGCTGGTTTATATAACAACAGGAAAATAAATGAGCCATTACTATAGGCAAGTAGGGGGTTGCAATGGGGAGACACTGTACGTGTTGAGTCTGCAGAACATGTAAACATAGCCGACAGCGCAGTGATTTACTCTGGTGCGATCAGCAGGTGTTAGTAAGCAGTTGGTCAAACGTAGGCGGTGGTTTAGAACGACATGACGGGTTGTTGTTGCAATAAAAGCAGCCTTGATGTTGACTGGCAGCTGTGAATCTGCACTGACCTTGTGTATCCTGGTACCATCATTTGTGTGAATATGATGTTCAAAAAAAAAGATATGCTCTGCAGAGTTCTTGCATGCTTCCTTAAAAAAAAGTGAGATCTAACTACTCTTTAAATTGATGCAAACTCACTTAGTCCATTTTCACTCACTCACGCTCTCTCTCTCTCTCTCTCTCTCTCTCTCTCTCTCTCTCTCTCTCTCTCGGAGGATAAAAATTACTCTTTTTCCCCAAACACATCTGAGGCGCTCAGGTTGAAGCGATTCGGCTCTTTCTTCTCAGGCAGGGCCTCAT